CATGAAACAAAAGAATAAATGCGGGCTCTACAGCATTTTGTGGCACTCGTTCTAAACGCTCGCCAGTGAAGTGGAGCCGGGTCGGCCGCACCATAATTGAGTTGTCAATGACATCAGAGGCCGCCAGTGCGATACGGACAAAGGGCGAGCCGGAAATGCAGCGTAGCAACAATAACAAAACTCTCACAGTGCAACCCCATACACAATCCCTCCGCACCGCTCGCCCGCTCTGTCGTTTAGGGTTTCCATGCGCCGGTCTGTCACACAGCTTTTGTTACATTTTTCGTTGGCATTTCGAGTGCCTTTTTTTCATTGTAATTATGCGAAAATGAAAACAAACACAATGTGGGACCCCTCGCTCAGTTCCCCCCCCCCCCCCTTTCCCTACACTTTAACTGTTAGCCTCTGAGTCAGCCGTCAGTTTGGTGTCGCGGGTCTCGGATGTCGACACCTGCGCACCCGCTTGGGTCACGGGCCAAAAATGTGAACTCATATGTGAAGCGGGTTGAGGCGAAGAGCTTGTTACCCGGCCCTCAGCTCAGTTAAGCCAAAAAGGCCAGCAAATGTAATGAAATTTTCGTTTCATGACTGCGGCTTTTGTGCGTCTGCATGTTATGGTAATGATGCATGTGTGTGAGTGTGCGTGCCATGCAAATTTGGGGTTAGAGCTAGGGCTGACTCAGTTCGCCAACTTGAGCATGGGAATGCAATGCAGCGACAGGAGTTGGGAAGTTTAAATAAGGAAGCTATAAGGGTTGCCCTTACATACACACTTTTCAATAAAGGAGAAAACATTGTAAGAGTCATGAAACTTTTCGAAAGTTCTATGGGGTTAATTTAGGCAAATACCCTGTAAACTAAATACCTTGCAACTAGCGCTGATAGCGACTAACCGGCTTGAGGTTTACTCGCTGACAATATTCAGTTCCTGCTGAAGCTATCAAGCGTATGATAATCCCAAATTAAGGACAATTAGTAGGAACAATATAAGCTACCTTAACATAACAGATTTCTACATGTTGTATCCATTTCTTCAAAAAGTAAACCCCATTACGCCAACATGTAGACCTCGAGACAAGTCAGCCAGCCATTCATTTTTCTTCTACTTCTCCCATTTTTTGCTGTTTTGTTTAACATAAATATATATAATTTATCAATAAAAGAAAAGTATATATATAATTTAGCATTAACATAAAAACTTGAAATACCTTTAAAATTCGAAAGCTATAGGTATTAAAAAAAAAAACAAATTAACTGAATTAAATATGCTCTGATATTTTAAGATCTGCCTCAATCAATGTTTATCATATATTTATATTTATATGTCTTAGTATATATATATTTAATAATTAATTGTCTTGAAATAATTTTCGAAGAGTTGTCAGTCAAACGGTTGCAATTATGAGAAATGTACCTTATGTATTAAATGAAATTTCCTAGCTATCTCTCACCCTTTACACAAGCCACACCCATTTCTAAACACTTAAGACAATTGCATAATTAAATTGATGTCTTACACAATTTCCCCTGCTATGGAAATCAATCATTCATTCAGCTCTTTACAAATATGTACAAAATATCTTTAATTGCAAATACAAATATTCACAACCACGCCCCCAGCTTACGCCCCTCATTAAACGGAAGCGCGGCAATAATCAAAAACAAATAACATAAAACTTTCGCATACGCAGACAATAAAACGATCTGTGCAGCATCCAAATTCACATGCGAAAATAAACTGCGCAACACTTTCAAATGTCCGCGAGGCGCCTCAAATTGACAGGCGACAAGCGACTCGGACGCCTACGCCTCAATTGGAGACGCAGTCGCAGCCTCCGACATGGCCATACACAAACAAATTAGAGTCAGGCGCAAAAACACACTCATGAAAAGCAAAAGTGTATACAAAATATGACACATAAGCGCGTAGCGGGAGAGAGAGAAGATGATACAGGCAAGAAAAAAAACAAACAACAACAATAAGACGCCACACACATTGTACAAAAATTTGCAAAAAACTTTTACTTTTCAAATAAGCGTAAAAACATTTTTGCGCATCATGCAATTTGATTTGCAGGCAATACTCGTAACATGCCAGATGTATTTTTTGAGTGCGTTTCAATCAACAACAACAACAACAACAGCAACCACAATAGCAATAGTAATAGCAACAATATCAGCTCACGAGTGTGTTGAACTAATCAAGTTTGTTGCCTAAGTCTTTTGATTGATTTTGATTTTTTTGCGCATCAAAAATGCATTTTGCAGCACTTTTTGCCGTGTTTTGATTACAATTTGATTGAAATTTGTGCATGGCTGGCGTGTGGGTGGTTGCATCCAAGTAAAAGGCTTTTAAATAACATCAAAAACAATTTAGCCTGCCGGCCTTATGCAATGGCCTAAACGACGCCGCCTACTTAGCCCAATACATTGGCCGCTGCTCAAAGAGCCGACAAAATTGAAAGTAAATATCTGTTTATTTGCATGTCTATTGCACAAATGCGGGGAATTTTAATGTTTCGATATGCGAATGTGCTGTAAAGTGCTTGAGTGCCTTAAAAGTGAGGGTGTTCCCTTTTAAAATGATTATAAGAATGTTTTCTACAAGGGGAGAGTCGAAAACCTACCCAATCTATCATCGTTTCATCTAACATGAATACGATAATATATAAATTGAAAATAAAAGAAAGTATGCTCCATTTGAATGTATTTTCTAAGTACGAAGGTTTTAGATGTCATCTTCATAATGAAAACCAAAAACCCTTGGGTAGATATTAAAATAGATCTCCTGATTTGAGCCCTATAACACTAGAAGTTTGTGTATGCATTGAAACCCGAAGGTTAAGTCCGGCGTTCAAAAACACAAGTTTTATTTTCGATTGTTTATTGGAAGTAAAAGTAAATTATAAGAATTATGTTTACATCAGGTATTTTCATGGCAAATGTCAATTTCGAATAAATACAAATTTATAAAATTTAAATGATTTCAATTTCATTTTTTCTCGATCCGTAATACATTTCTCTCTTCTCCCTTACTCTGGTGGACCTTCTAAAAAAGAACATCGTTAATTTTTATTCACTTAGTTTTCATGTTCATAATCGAAACTTTCTACCCTACGAGTAGTTTTTCTACTACTTGTTTAACCTCTATATTGACCTTTCATTTTATTCTAGGCAATAGACATATATTTTTAGTATTTTTAAACCATCCAGTGCCCTTTTGAATCTAATATAAAATTATTTTACTTTCTCAAAAAAATCCTTTAATACCTGGCAACACTCTCAAACCCAATTTTCTCCACTTAACAATTTATACTATCTTCCATTCCAACTCTTTAACACATTTTTTCAGTTTTTTTTTTTTAATTTATTAGCGTATTGCCCTTCAGCCTGTGACCACGCCCACGTGCTTTTGCATCACACGCCAAAAATGCTGCACACGAAATGCGCAGACTCATAAAAATTAGCCAAATGCGAAGCAAATTTCAAATTTTAAACACATTTCAGCAGCTGCGAATTGTAACAGAGAAAAAAAGCCAAACCGAAGCGAAGCTAAAAAGCAGTTGGAATAGATAATAAAAAGTGCGCAGAAATTGCCAAATTTTATGTGCATAGCGAAAAAATTGCAATATTGCGTTTAATTTGGGGTCACACTTAACAGCGCCATGTTGTGCAAAGTTAACTTAACAGCGAATAGTAAAGGCGCTGTGAAAGGATGCTGTAAAGCAATTACTTCATTTTATTTGGGGTCACACTTAACAGCGCCATGTTATGCAAAGCAAACATAACAGTTAGCCAAGACTCTGTTAAAGGACGCAATGGCCGTTGTAAAGCAATTACTGTTTTTTGGCTGTTACAGTTTTGAAGGCATTTTAATTGCAGCCCCCGCGGCCAAGTTAAATGACACATGCGCTTGGCCAAAGCCAGCGCTCAACTTGGCCGCGGCCACTTTGTTGTTGTTGTTATTGCTGCTGCTGCGGCTTTTGAAGACTTTCACTTTGCCGCACAGAGATGAAATGGCTATTGACTCTTTTTGGCCGAAAATAAAAACGAACCAATTAACCCATTAGCGTACACTTTGAAATAGCTCGACAAAAAAAAAACACAGCCGGAGCACAACAGTTTGCTAAATTTAACTAGAAATTTTCGTCGATTAGAGAGCAAAAACCTGAAGATATATTTTGGAAATACATCAAATAATAATATTATGTATTCTTATATTTGGAAAGCATAAATAACGTTTTTAAAATCTTTAATTAAGAAACATTATTCAATTAAGCTCCAAAAATAAAGCTATCTATAGCTTAAGCAGATATATTAGCAAGATATACTGAAAATATCCCAAAATCTGGGGAACTACATTAAAAGGGTTTGATCGCGAATTTCGATAATTTAATATGTATATATATTAAATTTCAATTAATTAATTAGATTAGTGCACATTCAATCTGTTACTTGAACCATCTAAGGTGTGTGATCCTCTATAATTGAACCTTTCTTTTTAAAAAGCAAGAGAGGGCAAAGCCTTTCAAATCTTCATTATTAAAAGCGATATTAGTTTACAACTCTTTTATATCCCAATAATATAAATAATAAAAGAAATTTTCTGTCTCTTTTTAAAAATGAATTTCTTGATCTAAGTACTTTCTTCTCTGTATAACGTTTTTTAATAAAAAATTTCTTGGTTAAGCACTTTCTTGTCATTTCTTATTATTATTAATATTTTTGCATACAAATCATGTTTAGTTAGCTACAAATATATCATTAATGTTAACACAATTTATTTTGTAGATATATCGAGAAGGGATATCGGTTAACCTGAATTGAGATTTTATATGGAGTTTTCTAGTACTGAGAGCTTGGCCTAAATCAAAGTGAAATTTCCCGAATTCCTCTTTTCCTTCAAAAACTTTTTCTGTTAAGCAACAACTCATGCTAATTCTAGAAAATTCGTATCTTAATATATCTGATAATATGCGTAAGGCTTTTCAAGGACTCACCGTCTTGCCTGCCTGGGTATGGACTGTGTCCAGCACACGGGCGCCTTATGCAGCTGATGCATATTCCTCGACGATTTGTAGGTCAGATCCCCGCACTCTGTTTGCCACACCTGCAGATTGCCCTCGGCCGGGTAAAACGTGTACAGGCTGTGCGTAGCGGAGGCTATAACGGGCGATGCGCCGCCGCCGCCCTCGACACCCACACCGTCCACCCCAACGCCCGCGAGCGGCGACAGCGTGGCACTCGAGATTGGCTGCACCAGCAGCGCTGCCTGTCCACCCGCCGCTGCTGCTGCAGCGGCCGCTGCCGCCGCCGAGCCTGTGCCAGTCGCGCTGCTCTTGTAGTTGAGCATGCGACTGTTGGCGCTGCCGCCGCCGCCGCCTCCGCCGACGCTGACGCTGCTGCTGCTGCTGACGTTGCCGTTACCGTCGTGCTTGAGGATGAGGCTGCTTGGATCGTAGCCGTGTCGCTGCCTGCCAATAGCGTCCACTGAATGCGAACGCAGCGCATGGCGCGCTGGCGGCGTCACGTGCAGGCGCCGTCCGCGCCTATAGCCTGCGGCAGCAGCAGCTGCAGCGCCGGCGCCAACGCTGAGGCCGTTGGTCAAGCGATGATTGTGAATGCTGGCAGCGGCAGCGCTGGCGACCAGCGGTTGGCGTTGTTTTTGATATTGCAGGCGCTGCTGTTGCTGCTGTTGTTGTTGTTGGTGTTGTTGGTGTTGATGCTTGAGCTGTTGCTGCTGCTGTTGCTGTTGTTGTTGGTGTTGCTGCTGCTGCAGTTGATCCTTGTAATAATCGCGTCGCTGCAGCTGCGGCGCGGCCAGACTAAGTGCGCCGCGCTTCTCTGTCAGGTTGTTGCTGTTGTTGTTATTGCTGCTGCTGCTGCTGTTACTGCTGGCACCGCCCGTTGCCGCCGAACTCAGCTGCGCCAGCTTGCTGGCATTGTTATTGCTGTTGCTGTTGCTGTTATTTATTTGATGCTCTGAATCGGTTGAAACCCGATCCGGATCACTTTCGAAACCTTCGTCAAGGGATCGTGTTGGACTCAGTATGGGCTTGGAGTGCTGCTCCAGTTTAGTAGACGCCGACATGTCCACTTCGAGCTGTGTGTCTGTGTGTGTGTTATTATGTGTGTTACACTTGGCAACACTTTGTTATAAAAAAACTATGCACAATTTTGCACTTGTTGCAGTTGCAGTTGCCGTTGCAGTTGCTTTTAATTTGCCATGCACTTTACAATTTAACTTGTTTTTTAATTTTTTGTCGCTTTTTTCACTACGTTTGTTGTCTGCGAAATTCGCGCCAAAGTTCGAAATTCGAAATTAAATTGGTTTTTATAACAAGCTCTAAGCTGCCGCTCACGTCTGTCTCGCACGAGAGTCGTTCACTAACTGTTAAGCGGCAACGGCGCAAACTGTCGTCGACGGCCAGCAGCAGACGAAAGCTTCGCACTCGGCACTTGTTACGATTCGTTGTTGTTGTAGTTGTTGCTGCTGCTGCACCTGCTGCGTTCGTTCGTAGTGAGAGAGCGCTAGTCCAGAGAGAGAGAGTAAGAGAGAGCACGCGCTGCAAACAGCTGTTGGCTGCTTAGGTATTCGCGAAATTTCTGAGCGTTGAGCGGCAGGCTGTGAAGGTTGAACACGCATGCAACGGGACTGGGAGAGGGTACCGTTAACATGGCAAAGCTCAAGCTTTGACTTTTGGGCGCAATTGTGTTGTCTTTGACATTTTACAGTTGTTTACGCTACTGTAAAAAGGGAATTAAAAATGTAAAGCTATTCCGCAACAGCGTTAAGGAAATGTCATTTAGATAGTTAAAGTGTAATAGGAACTTAATAGCCTACACAAAATAATGTACACTACGCAGTCAACACTCACAGACTAGCTACGCTACACCGTGCCAACTTTTCCAGCCGTCACTGTGCGATCACCTCAAGCTCTGGCTCTCTCACACATAACCAGTCTCTCGCAGTTTATTCGCGCCATAACATTTTTATCAATGAAAACCGACACTACAGCAACAACGACCGGCACAAGACTGCCGCAAACAAACAAACAGCTGAAAGCTCGCGCAACAGCTTCGAAAAGCTTTTGGCACCTGCTGCACAGCTGCATTGCGAGTACCAGAGAGTATGAATGAGAGAGTGAGAGAGTGACCAAATTTGGTGGCTGCCTACGCTGGCGCTCGAGTTTATTGTTTTTCTTATTACTGCTGATGTTGCTGTCGCTGCCATTTCATCTCCCGTTTGCTGTTGGTTTTTTGTTTTGTGCTCTAAGTGGCCGCTGCGCTTGCGGCCTATTACAATAACAACAACAACAACTGCAGTCGGCCATTGCAATTTGATGCCGTCAAGCAATCGATGTTGAAGTGGAATGCCCTTACTTTGATTGATTTCCGGGTGCTGCGACGTTGACGTTGACGGCTGCGTTGGCAGCGGCAGCGGTTTCATTTTTCGCCATCGAAAAAGAAAAAGTGACCGAGACAATGGAGAAATTGCAATTGGCAATAACAGCAGCCAACTGGCTGAGGGAGGGTATCATGCTTATGTTAAGCTGTTTGTAAAGGAGGCCGACACAGTCAGCATCCATGGAATTAATAAAGCTTTATAAGCGCAGCTCAATGTGTAGAGCCCATTATTAAATAGCTTTAAATAATTGTTGCGCATTTGTAATAAGATATCTTTTTACAAATGTCAATTCAATTAAAATTGTTGCTTATAGTGTATACCACATTTCGCTGTTGTGCAAGCTATTGTTTCGCTTCCCTTCTTGTTGCTCTTGTTTTCTTTTGCGCTGGCTTCCGATAGCGATAAACATAACTATTGCTGGTGCAGCCTACTTATTGTAGTTGTTGTTGTTTTTGCTGCTGCATTGATTTTCGCTTTTCTTTTATGCGTTCATTTATAAGTAAATTATAATAAAGCTTGAGTATATCTTTAATTTTTTTTTCACTCCTGTATTTTGACAGCCAGCAACAGTTGTTGTAGCTGTTATAACAGCAATTTAATAATATAAATTTTATAGTTTGAACACCATAAAAATGTAGATCTTAATTGTGTTTCGGTGCTGTTGCTTGTTATAGGATTACGTGCCGGTATTTTGATTTTAACAGCATGCCCCACTAAATGTGGCTGACCTGCACTTTGAATTAGATCTAGCTGGACCTGGACCTCAATGCTTACCGTTATAGTTAGGCAACAATTCCAATTACAAACACCCCATAAAGTTCAGCTCACGCGTAATGCACTCAACACTCCATAATATTACATTACAGAGAGTGAGAGAGAGAGAGAGAGAGAGAGAGAGAGGGCGGGGGGGGGGGGGAGAGCGGGAGTGTGTGTGAGAGAGTGAGCTAGAAACTGGAAGTTAGATGGTCGTATAATGCTTTATGATGGCTGTGGGTGTTTTATTGTTGTTGCTGTTGTTGTTGCTGCGATTCGTTTGCGGTTGGCGGCCCAAGTTCAACCGGGTTCAAGACTCAAGCGCAGCCACAAAACTTGTCTGTTAATGAGCAGGCAACAGCAACTACAACTTCAACAGCAAGAAGCAATAAATCAATCAAAGTGCAGTTAGACTAGTTCGGTATTATATCAAAGCTGGGTTCTTGAATTTGACGAGCGCACTTTAATCACATTTAACAACAGATCAAAGTAATTTAATTTGGCTTCGATTTAAGTATCTCAAGGATTAGATGATTAAATAACCACAAAATAATTTATATTGGGTTTGTTGCAAAGATTAAAGTAGGTAAAGAAAATAACTCATATGATAAATAATATAAATGAAATTTGGTACAGTTAAGAACTCCCTTGGGTCGAGAGCGACTGTCTGGTAATTATTGTCCGCTCAAGAGTAGCCTCCGCCTAATAGAGAGAGAGAATTTCCTACACAGAGATAAAGTAAAAGGAGGTAAAAGTAAAGTCTGTCTGGAAAATTTGCACTGTATAGTTTCAAAATGTAGGGAACCAAATCCTCCACTAATTAAGACCAGTTCCATTAAGTTCTTAGTGTTGGGAGTAGGATTTAATTTGTGAAATTGGGCGAAATAAAATCTCTATTAAGCAAGTCCACACCATGGGCCATCTCGCAACGAACAAACGTGGTTTATTTTAAATGTTTAATGTTTTTTTAGCTCTGTTGTTGCCGTTGTTGTTGTTGTTGTTCCTGTTGCAACTTCTATTTGTTCTTCTGGCTCGGTATTCGTCATCCACAGGCACCCATGCATCAATTGTTGGCAATAAACAACCGTCAAATGTTTACAGCCAGCGTAAAACCCACAAAACTGTCTCCGAGGATTGCCAACATGGGCGGCAACAACAACGCCACGAGGCAACAGGCGCGTGTGTGGGGGATGGGTTGCGGCAAATAGAAGGCAGTGGCAGCACCAGTTTAATTACGACTTTACTAGTTATGACAGACGCGGGCAACAGCAACAAATGTCACATAATTTCCACAATTAAAGCATAAACTGAAGCAATGCAGCCGCAGCTGCTGGCGGTCTGAGGTTTTCAGGGTTCGACGGGGGATGGGCGGTGCGGCAGACACTTTGGCAACAGGTGAAACAGGCTGAGGCTGAGTGGCTGCGAGGCCTGACTCAAAGTCTGTGGCACACGCATGCGTAAAACGGTTGTTAGCTGTTGTTGTTGCTGTTGTTGTTGCTGTTGCAACGGCAGCAACATGCATGAAATTGTTTGCTTGGCGCAGAGAAGAAACGCGCGACGAAAGACCCAGAGAGCCGGGGACATGTTCTGCCAGTTGCCAGAGTTGCCCGTTGCCAGCGACAACGATAACAGCTACACGACCAGCCAGCAACAAGGCGTGAATGCCGTAAGCTCCACTCAGATCCCCAAGTCGTTGCCCAAACGCACACGCACAGTGCTTTGGGAGTGGAGTAAAAGGAAAAGTGCAAATGGCCCCAAGGATAGATATGAAACACTTTTCAACTGCCCCAAGGCGATGGTGGTTGATTGGCCAAGATTGTCAATTAAAAGAAGTTGTGGCTAATAACATTATTATTAACTATGGCGTGTTTTTCACATATATGTTAATTGTATGTTATTGTTATGTAAGGATTTTTTATGCCAGTTATGTTATTTTATGTTATGCTATGTTATATTATGATATATCAAGTTAAGACATGTTATGTTATTTTATGGCTTGTTATTGTATTTTATGTTATGTTATGATATGTACACAGTCTTTCAATTACATATATAAAGTAAAAATTCTCATGTTAACCGTAAGTTCAAAATAAATCAATTCTTCTTTATGTGTATGTTATGCTGTGTTATGACAATGCTATGTTATGTCATGCAAAATGGATCCCATATTATGTTATGTTTTTTATGTTATGCTTATGATTGTTTTGGCATTATATTGTTATTTAATATTTATAACATTTTGATTTATATCTGAACCACTGTGCAAACGCATCTTGGAGGCTGTAACATCATTACCGTTTGGCCATGGGCCGCTTGCCATTGTAATTGATGTTGTATTAGAACATCATTTACGCAATTGCCACAGTTTGCAGTTGTTGCTGCTGCTGACTTTGGTTGTGCTGTAATCTAGTAGCTGATTGTTGGAAGTTTGAGCTGATTTCCTTGCTGCCGTTTAAAATTTTATATCGACTAACGATCGCACGATAAAATGGGGAAAAAGAGCCAAGGCAGTTATCAAATTGACTACAAAGATGCGAATGTTAGTATGGGGATGCGATTGATCAATGGCAATGGATACTCGACGCATGGGCCGAGGATCGCTGTGGGCTGTTTCCCTAAACAATCTTGCCGCTGGCCATTGGACATTAGGCAGGAATTGGCATTAAAAGAAATGGCTTGAGTAATGGCCCATGACGCCCAGGTTGGGCATTTATAATATTAGCATATTGTGATCACTTATGATACCCTGTAAATAACATAGGCATAAGCGTAACACATGTTAGTGCGAGCTGCGCTGTTACTGTTACTGTGCTCTGTTAATAGGCTGTTTAATATTTTAATATTTTAATATTTGTTAAGGGTATTTAGTAGTCGTACGGAATTATTTAATAAGACAGGTATATTTGGGGAAAGATCTACAGTCTGCTAGCTTAAGCCCTGAACAATAAGCAAATACCTTTTTATTGCATTATGAATTGCTATGAAATACCATTTAAGATCCATCATACCACAAACACGCACCACTACAAGCTCTTGGCTAATCCACATAGTTAATTCTTTTCGGTTTAGCGCCGCATTGCACACAAACTTGCCCCAGCGAATGTGGCCCAAACTCAAATGTTCGCCCAAAAAGGCGGCCAAAAGACAAACGCAATGCCGCCGCCCAGGCTTGCAACCGACCAGCTTCACCAGCCTCAGCCCCAGCCCCAGCCACAGACCCCAGCGCCCAAAAACTAAAGCAAACCGCGAACCGAATCAAACTGAGACAAAATCAACGCAGAACGCAGCACAGTGCACCAGAGCCAAGTGGGCAAAGCGCCATCGCTGGCCATGATTGCCAAATCAAATAGCCCAAAACGCTGCGGCACGAAACGAGGCAACATTTTTTACGCTTAAATGGCAGATTGTTAAAATAACAGAGGCGGCAACGGCACGCAAAATTGAACAACGGCATCGACGGGAACCAGAAGGAACCACCAGCCAGCAGCCAGCAGAGGCAGCGGCAGCGGGCACCACAAAACGGGCAACACCAGTGCCACCAACAGGTGCAAGCCAAGATTAACGCAAAATCAAAGCGGAAAAACTGACGTTGCCAGCGATGTGGCAGCAGCAGCGGCAGCGGCGACTGTGCTATAGACTTCAAGCTAGAACATTTAATTAACCCTTATGTGAAGCTGGGCAGAAGAAACTTGGTTTAGTCGATGAGGGCAATTTAAAGAGTTAAGTTTGTTACGTTTGGAACGATATGATAGCGTTATTTCTCTAAGATCGCCCCCCAAGAAGACAACATAATTGATGCCCTTCGGCTTTTAGTACTAGATACTAATTCTAAACTCTGCTA